AGCACTGCAACTTTATCTACAGGCGTGTCGCTTACCATCAGGCGCACGACTTGTTCGTCCCGTCGCTTGATATTATAAAAAAAATGCCGAACATGCATTAAGCAATGTATTAAATTTGTTAAATTTAGGTGCACAAAGTGTGTGTGTGTGTGTGTGTGATAAGAGAAAGTGCATGTGTGCTAAGAATATTTCGAATTAAAGATCACGATAGTTCATCTTGTAAAAATAAGTAGCTAATTATTAAAATTGGTAATTCAATTACAAATGATATATATAAGAAAATCCCTATTTTTTATTTAACAATATATTATAGTAGCAACAAAAACTAAAACTTACCACACCTACTGTTTAATGCATTAAGCAATACTGTTATATTAAGTGATTATCTGACAGTAAATCCAATAATTCTTTGACTTTAAACTCAACCTTATTGGAACCCATTAAACTTTTAGGAACATAAATTTTTCTTCGTTTGTTTAAAGTACAGCATTGAGTGTTTAGCTTTTGCTAAAAAACGGTAAGTATCCATTCTAATTTTCGACCCAGCTCGGAAATGCAAACAAATGCAATTTTCTTTCGGTTCAACTTTTTCATATACTAACCTAACCGCAGGAGGGGTTGAACCCGCTCGGAAGGTAACCTATTACAAAGTCGAAAATTTTTTGTCCGAAATAATGTTATACGAATTAAAGAATTGTAACGAAACGGTTGTTCTTTCAGGATATGTTGAATGTTTATCGCAAAGACACGATTAGGTTTGGTTAGGTTGGGTTAAGTTAGATTTAAAAGAAAAAACATTTTCCTCTCAATATTACTTTCGAGGGAATGAAATTTCCACCAAACGTTATTTCTGGAAAATGTCATTTCGGACTACTGATAGGTAACCGCTCGGAAAAGCAAATAGAATTGACTAATTAGATTTTTTGTCTTTCATTTTATACTTTGCCAAATTTACGGCAGGTATTAAAGAATACCTGCCGTAAATTTGGCATTATTAAGATAATGCCTAGGAAATGTGTTTAATAATTTAAAAAATATTAACTATTATATGCATTGCCAAAAGAAACCCGGTATTGTGTAGAATGACAAGGTATTCTAAAGAATCCCTGAAGTATACACATTGCCGTTATCATATACACCAATCGTAACTTGTATGCTAATTATTAAACGTATCACGTCCTAATAGAAAGCACGTATGCCTGTCCATATTGATCGCAACATTAAATCACGGTAACTTACGCACATAGACACTTTCTAGTAGCCCTTTGATGGATTAACAAGTATTAAAGTAGTAAACAAAAAAAAAACTAATTAGAAGATTCGCAAAATGTATTTAGTCTGAAAAATAATTCTATATTTTCTGTACCTACCTGCAGCAATTTAGATTAAACGACAGGTCTATATTGAGAAGAAGCAACTGAAGTGTGATAGATAGTATTATGTAATTATTTAATGGATTCATAAGTAAGATAGCCAACCAATATAGTGAACATAATAATACCCTGTAACTCTTGGAATATTCTAAGCAACTTGTGTCACGTCTTAGTGATAAATGTGAAAATGTGTTACCGTATGTGGAACATATTTGAGCCACATTTAAATTTCAAGGTTTCCATAGAGCTGTTCTACAAGTATGCATCACGCTAGTTTCTCGCATCCAATATTGTACATAGACTGATAACCTATAGATATTAATAGCTTAACAAACTTGACAGTGACTCGCAGTGATCTTAAAACAGTGACTCGTGGTTAGCTTCGTTATAAAAAATATGTGGAATGGAAAAGATTTTCAGACAAAGAGAACAAAAGTAAAAATAAAATCCGTGCTTCTTATAATTGAAGATTAAAATAAAAAAAAAACAAGTTTGTGATAGTTCATAGTTCGGCGTAGGTAAGAATTGTTTTGAATTGAATTGTGGAATGTAACTTGCCTCCCAAACTGTGCAAAATGATAGCGTTAATGCTCTGTGTTTTTACAAAAGTAGTTGAAATCATTAAAAATGCGTATTGGGGCGAGGAACCATCGCTTGAAGCGCCTTCTAGAAAGAAAAGACGGAGGAAAAGATGTCGCAAACGGAGGAGACTAAGAGGTAAAAACATTTTATCGCTTTGTGACTAAACCAACAAAAACAAATGTGATAAAACTCAGATTTGACATTGTGCATGTATAATCAAGGTCGAAATTAAAATAAACAACACATTTACGGCCTTATTGTAATTTAAATATTCAGCAAGTACAAAGATATAGATAAAACAAACACTAACAACAATAATGTAGAGTCTGTAGGTGAGTAATCAATTAGTTTTAACAATGAGTCTTGAGCAGCCTAAATTTTCCACTAATAATTATCATCTTTTTAACACAAAAGAGTTTATTCTACGTTTCAGACAGCAGAAATATGGACTTCAAGTAATGTTTCGTGAGAGTTTTTTGGACAATATCGTATCTATGCTCTACATGTGTTGTAAGTCCAACGATGTAAGGTTATAAGGGTAGGATGTAAGGCTAGCCGAAGCAATAATGTTGCATACGAAATTTACCTATGTAGATCGTTACTGTATGATTTAGCGCCACCTATTACCGAACTGCATAAGTCTTTAGTACCGATAAATTCGTGGCGTTCAATTCAAACCAATCGAGGACGTTCATAATGTAAAACGGAGTTAATGTTTCGCGTGGGTGACGTTAGATGGCGTTGCGGTAAAATTATCATCAATATACAGATGGTAGAATGTTCAGACGTAGAGTAGTTAATGCATTGGTACCTAATAGGGACACCGAAAAGGAACAGGACGTCCCAGTATTTCAGAACAATTCATAGGCAATAAGTATATTTTGGTACTTACTATATTTAGGTATATACTCATTAGCAACTGTTATGTTTTATATGCGCATTTGACCTCCATTTCACCTGATGGAAAGTGACGATGAGGTCAACGATGGAGCATGCACACTTAAATAAAGTCTATTCACTCTCGCCTTGAAAAGGCCAAAGTTACAACGTTCAGGGAATAAGTCTGAAGGCAAAGAATTCCACTTCAAATCCATTCGCTATGTAAAAGTGGAAGCGTAAAGGTCCGTGCAAATCCTTGGAATATCCACAACGTACAGGTGGAACCATATATATGGTGGAACCCACGCCTGGGTACATCTAGTTCCCCGGGATGGAAAGAGGAAGACAGAATTAAATAGTGCAAATCCATCGCAAACTCTTCGTGATAATTATATCGTATAGAATATTTTAATATGTATTAGTATTACCTATTATGAAGAAGGCAAAGAGAATCTAAAGAGACGGTGTTGTTGCCGTTTTTTTATCATTGTTAAAATCGGGTGCGGTGATTGAATTAGTCTAAATGATAGAATTAGTTTAACTATATTTGCTAATAAAATTATACACCACATGTTTGCCATAAAGATCATGGGAGGATTGTTTGGGTTCCACGCTCCACATACATTTCGCGAGGCCGTTCACCCAACACAACTGATTTGGCAGTATTCGCTAAATTGCCAAACACCGTTACATTTTAGCGAATTTCTGATATACATCGACGAAAGATGAAACCATCTTTCATTAATTTGTCTTGGCTTCATGGCTAGGTTTCATGAGTTGAAGAGCTTATAACTTGTTAAAATGAGATATTGGTCCTAAGGGAGTGATTGTAGCACCGCTTTTGATATACTTATGTAGGTAGCTAGCTTGATTACTTGCAGATGCGGTTATCTTAACGATGAAAATCTCAATGCGTGGGTAGGGAAGCATGCCTATCATGTGCAGCTTGATTTTGATTGCCTCTCCCGAACGGAAACTAAAAATAAGAAATAATATATGTATAATATAATAAAGAAATAATATTGCGGATGAGCTACCCGATCCGATCAATTCCGATTTGAATAAAATCAGGACCATGAAGTTTTCATTTGTGTCTTGAGATCTAACACCAGTAGTGTATATTTCTATATTACGTTTTCTAGATACATAAGACCTGATAGCCTAACGATTTGACCTATAGCCTCTCAAGCTAGGTCGTTTCTCGGAATTTACGGTGCGAAATTTAATTTGAAATTTACCATGAGCTTTCCGGTAAAGGCAAAAAAAACACTCGGCTCGAAAAACCTGCACATCAAAGAAGGTTCACAACCCGCATTGGGCCAGTGTGGAGGACTATAGCCTACATCCTCGCCTGAGAGGCGATGTCCAGTAGTACGATATAAATGGGTTGATGACGATGACGCTTCTTCGATAGTCACTGGGAACAATGTTTACGAGTGAACAACCCGGCAATACAAAATTTCCATCTAAGCACACATACTACTTCAATTAGCTTGGATTATTTTAAAAGTATAATACGTATATGAATGTATAACAATAATTGTAACATAAATTAAATTCTAATATAATTCTGTGTAATGTAAAGTCACGTATTGCTGGACTTAATATGGCTTAATCGCAACTTGGGAAAATGATTACGGTAATCTAACTTGAATTCTCTAACAATTAACACGCACACTGAACACAAGTTTCAATATAAAAAAATAATCTGTTGGTTATTTTGGCTTTTGTGTAATAGATTTACAAAATAATAAAAAGTACTTATACTCGAACGACCAGACTATTATACACCTACATTCTGAACTTACCTCAAGTCTTTTCATGGAAGGGTCATATTCTAGAACTCTACTCAACGCTCAAGTCAGGATTGTAATTGAAACACAAGCACTGGAAATACGACCCTAATGGCAGGGACTTGAGTATGATTTCGAGTGCTTTAAACCATACTCAAATCCTGATTTGAGCATTGATTAGAGTTCTAGAATACGACCCTAATAGTTAAGTAAACCACTTTGTGACACTTTCCAACCATAGTCAATTTAAACAATAAGTTTTATTAGAAATTAAATTAGTATGCACCCTCAAGCATCTGGATCTTTGCGCGACCCGTGTTGTGAAGTGACGTCAACAGAAGTGAAGTTGGCGCGCCTGCGCACGTCAGTTACGTGCGCTGCGCCTGCGCGTTCGGTTTATACGGCGGTGCTGTAGTCGTGATCCGATTAACAACGTCAGTTTAATTTATATCTCCTATCCAACTAAAATAATTGAATTTCCAATCCAAAGCATTGCATAAACCTTGATTTGGCAGAAACATAACGATTTCATTACTTTTAATTTCTTTGTTGTAATTTGTTCAGCGAGATTACTAACATTCCAGCAATTGCATTACGAGTGCGCTAAACCATTACATTTTCTAATTCTGCATTTACCTTGCAGTTTTTTGCTTTGTTGCGATTATCGTGGTAGTATCAAGTTTTTTTGGAGGACCGGTCCTAGTATAATCCAATTAATCCCCATTCTATTTGTATCTCGATTCCCGTTCGTTCCCGGCGCCTTCTGTGACTATGTTCACTGCGGTTGGGATCACGCGTCCCGCTCGCTCGGACTCATTCACGCGCGTCCTCAAATATTTGGATCGGGAGTATGGGATAGCGCGCTCGCAGCTGTCAAATCAAGCGATACGCAGTTAGCCCTACAATCTTTTTCTAAACTATTGTTGCTCTTGTTCACGTTGCAGTGTCTTTACTTGTGTTTTGTCACGTGCAAAAACAATGTGAAAAGTGGTTGTTAATACATTTTCTAAGTAACTTGTATCCTTTCTGGACGGTTTTTGATAAAAATCGATTAAAGACGCAAAATGTGAGGTGTTGTTCCCTCAATGTGTCGAAGTGTAGTGATGAAGGTGCCAATTTCTCGATAGTGCACCCTGAAATCGAACGCTGTTAAAGGATACATTGGGAGTAGAAAATGCGGATCAAGGCCTTCCCAGATTTTCGCCCGAATGGTAATTATCCATAATTAAGCACTTTAATGTATGCTTACTTAATAATAAGCCTTCCTTGCAAGATTTTGATCATACAAATAATTTCCTGATGTTATTGTAATAATTTGCTAGTATAGTAACAATGAAAATATAAGTTACAGCAGATTATTTATTTCTATTTCGTTGCTAATTAACATGTGCGGACAACGGTACATCAGACTACACATTTTTGTTCGAAAATCGCCTCCAGTGCAACGGAACAAGATACGTCAATGTGTAGCTTGATGTGCTGACGTGTGTACATTTTTCTATGTTTAATACATTATTATATGTATTACGCGTGTTGCATAAAACAATTCCCAAAACGAGATAAATATAATGAATATTTCGATCTAACGCTTATGAGCTAACTTACGTAAAACATAACAAAATTGCTAATTTTCGCTTCGAATTGTCTTATTGGGTTTGTAGCATTTTTAAGAAAAATTTCTTGCTACAAAGACAGTTTCCGTTTAAGATATTATCACAGTAACACAGATGTAACATAAGATGCGAATAATATCCGTCCAATGAAAAGAAAGAAACAAGATGAAAACATTCTGATCTTTAGTACGAACATTACTATGGTGGCGTATTAGAATAACGATTGCGTAATCAAGAACGCTATCACCGACTATACAATAACAATGGTTTTATATTTATAAATAACACATGTTAATATTAAACTTATTGATGTACTGAAATGCCTACTGTGGTATTTCAATAATTTCTACAGACCGATGCGATCATCCGATCTGAGGCGTTCTAATGTTTTAAATTGCGATGACTCCTCGTCGTGTGCTCTTATTGGTGCAATTCTAACTGGGCGCGGTTCCATCATCATCATCATCACAGTGTCGTAAATTACAATAAAGTTCTACTTCCTGTAACAATGGGAATAAGTACCGACATAATTAATTTTTGAATTTTTTTTTATAAAAACCTAAACGTATTGAATATTCGCCCAGTTCTGACAGGAGACTGTTGCGACGAAATTAATAACAGCCATCAAGTTGGGTACTGGAAAGACGTTTATTCTTGATTATTATTACAGTGCTGTTACAATACCTAAAGTGTGTCGTAACGATGGCCTTAAACGCTCAATAAGATGGCTCTTGTTAATCTCAAGTATAGTTCTCTAACTGCGTAAGAAAAAGAAAGTAAGACATACGTTATTTGAATTTGAATCTGTTGAATTGACTTGCGGTCACGGCCAGCTGCCTAAAGAAGATGTAGAGATGTATACACGATCTACATACATCGTTTTTTTATGATATCAAGTGACGAGACGAACAAATCGCGCGTCTGGTGATACGCGTGTCCATAACAATTGCAGTGCCACTCAGATCTTTAAATCGCAAAGATCTGAGTCACCTTGAGACATGAGTTGACAAGTTTCAAGTGCCTGTAAGTTCACCAGCACCCTTACCCTTCAAAATCGGACCGCAGTAATGATCACATTACTGCATGGCGCCAGAAATAGGTAAGGTGACAGTACTTCCTTTGACGAATTCTTTCTCAAGGAGTTTTACTGTCACTAAATACGTTTCGTTATAATGAATATTTACACGACATAAACCAGAACCATCAAACTTCTATTCCTTTCATGATTGGAGGAAAATTAATTAAGTGCCCATTTGGATACCAACAGGGAAAACATATCATAAAAATACGATCACGTAGTTATAAATATTCGTACGTGAACAACGGATAAGCGAAACGTAAGGAAAAGCGAACAAACACGTTTGTTCAGTAATAAATTCATGAACAATTTACGTTCACGATCAACAATGACACCATCGGAAGTTGGAGTCTAACACATTACAAAATTATGATGAAGGTTTTTTTATAGATTATTCAAATGGGTTGCACTACCCACTGTTCCAGTAACGAGGTACTCAGTTCTCTTTGTTGAAGAAAGCTTTATTTTTTTAATTGTTGTTAAAGTACAATTATTGCTAAGTATTCCCGGGTTTGGAAAATGATCTACAGTGTTACAGAAGATAGATATATTTATGGTAGCAACTAACTGAGCCCCTTTGTGGGTAGATACAATTTTGTTTGTAACTGGACCTTATAGCAGTGGCATAGCGTGGGGGGTGCAGGGGGCCACGGCCCCGGGCAGCACAGCAATGGGGGAGGCGGCGAGCGCGGCCGAGCCCTAACTAGTCAAAATTATTCTTTTTTACTTAAAACTAAGAAATAAAATCAAGTATTTCAATCAACGATGCCCTTATCAACACAACGGCAGGCGAACATAAAAACACAATGGAACAGAGCCTGCCCAAACGAACCATGTACTTTCGTAATCGTGAAATAAAGGGGGCAAGAAATTTAAGGTATGTATATAATGTCTTGTAAATTCTAACGCCCGCCATGGACTAAACTAATTAAGGGGGAATGGGTTTGTTTGTACATACACACATTACATACATTTTCGTTTATAAATTTGTAAATTTAACAAGCAAACATGACGTAAATATTCGTTTTGTCAGTTTCGCAAGCGAGTACCTGTTTGAATTACTGAGTTTATGAAGCTGTCTTGATAAATAATTAGTTACAGTCGTTAAGTGCGCTATAAAACAGAATACTTTATAAAAATATTGGGAATTATTTTTATATTTGTAACAATTATTAAGAAATATTGTAGTATCTACAATGGAAATTAGTAGCAGTAGAATCCTTATGAAAGAGTTCGTCCAGGGAAGTACTGCCACTTTACCTATTTCTGCCGCCAAGCAGTAATATGAGCATTACTGTGTTCCGGTTTTGAAGGTCGGGGTGCTGATGGAATTACAGGCACATGGGACTTGTTAATTTATGGCTCAGGGTGACGGGCGCGATAAAAAAATATTAAAAAAAAATTATTGTGTCCTGGCGGAACACTGCTCAAAAAACTAACGAAAACTATTATTTACTATTACTATCCGACAGTAACTCTTACCTGCAGCTACCCTTGTTCGACTTCAAAGTACGCCGGACGGGCGAGTTTTTTATCCATTGCACCCTCGTTTGCGACAAATACTGGCTAAGCCTCCCCATCCCGGAAAAGCACTTTTCAACGTTCAACATGCAACATTTTCCTGTTAGTACATTGCCTTTAGTTATATATTACGTTTCTTAAAAACAGGTGTTCTTGGAACCTTAACACATTCATTGTTTGCCAAACCTGCAAAGGAAAGATAAAGTGAAACGTATTAACTTTAAATTTTATGAAATAAACTACTTCAAAAGTAATAATTGGAGATTGTTTGAAAAAATGCAGAAATATATTTCTTTTTTCGATCAAAAAAGTTTTTGTTACTACGCGAACGAGAAACGGTTTCGGGTTGATGTGGTATAAGTTAAAAAAACTTTTTATTGCTTTATCTTAATTACGTGGCTTCGATGGTTACAACCTGCATTTACTGCATCTTGAAGATGAAATATGTTTATCTTTATGTCTCGTATGAGGACGGGACAAAATTCGAAAGTACTTCCTAAGACCGTACTTTACACATAACGTCTGCCATTGTATAACAGCGATTTTCGTTTGGACCTTATAATAACTTATAGCACATAGTTACATAATATTGTGTTCTATTGTTGAGCATCTTGGTTTTCGTGTCACGGACTTTAATTCATTTGGTTTAAAATTGGGACGAATTATTGAACAGCTTCTGTTACTCAGTCTTAAACAATAATACTAAATGACTCATACATACAATGTAGATGCAGCTATAGTACAGCTTTATTTAGATCAAATCAATATAATTGTCGTTGTATTGGATATTCATATTATTCTTATTATAGACAGACGCGGTGGCAGTGCCTTTCAGATCTTTGCAATTTAAAGCTCTAAGTTGCACTAAAACCGCTATGGACAGGCGTGTCATTTACCACAAGGCAAAAGACTACTTTATTTACACGTAAATAAAGCTTTTGTATATCTTAAAAAAAGCAAAAGTTATCCATCTCATGTCCAATCTAAAAATTCCAGTTTCACTTGAATGACTCTAGAAAGTAAAACTGTGTATCTGTATTCAGTCCATCCACTTTCCGTTAAATGTAGCCATTCAAGTATTTAAAAAAAAGAGTTCGAAAATGCTTGAAAAATAAGAAACAAAGTTGATTGATTACTTTGCAGTGATAAAACTATACTTATATATTCAGAACGTTGTCCTTCATCTACTTTTCAATTAACATTTATAAGCTTCTGTAGTTAATTGAATCTTCAGAAAAGATACAAATTATTACTAATTTCTTTTATTACACGCAAATCTTCAACTAAATACATTTAAGAAACCGCAACGAGTTGTCATTTTTTGGAAGTTCCACTACGAGTACATATTTTTTTAATGTAATTTATAAAATACTAAAAGGTGTACATTTATGCTGTTCTCAAAAGTCAGGGTCGAATAGCAGAGAAATGACAATGTGTCCGGTTCCAAAAGCTAGTCTCGCGCCAATTGACGCAGTTAACAACAAGGTGCTTCGGCCAGGTGCTAATTATCGATAAGGTAATATTTCAAACCGCAATTGTAGTGTTTGCTTCACTTATTCAGTATTTGAATTATTTATATTACGCAAATTTATTTAATACACGCGATATTATGAACTAAATTAAAAAACTTTGTAGCTAACTATTTTTGCATTGTCGCTAACATGGCGATTTATAAATACACATTCAATATAAAATTGTATACACTAGAGTAGTAATTTGTTTTAACAAATTTAAATGCTTTGTCGAGTACCCAGACTTGTTCTTTTTATACGATTTCTAATAGCATCTTGGATTTTGTAGCATAGTTTATTGAGATCGTTGCCCGATGGGAACCTGACGGGAAAGTGCTACACAACAATGATAAGATAACCTATTTAATCACCGTTATACTAATATACTTAAAGTTGTTGATGGTTGATATTTTATACGTAAAATATGTATAGTACATTACTGCAGAGGCCGGAAAGTAAGGGATTGCCGGACGAATATGAGTATTCAT